CGTATCCGAAGACCAATAGGCAGCCAGTGCAGCTCGCGGAGGATAGGTGTTACATGGGTGAACCGAGGTGCACCCACGATCGCTCGCTTTGCTGTCTTCAAAATTTGTCTTTGAAATGCAGATGGACTGCTGAATCTCGTCCTGACGGGCTTGTTCTCCTATGTTGTGCCACGTATCTACGAAGTGGTTGTTTTGTTTCCCCAATGTACAGATCTGCTCGCCGCATTGTACTGCATATACCATCAACATTACTAACAGATTATTATAGGACTAGATATAAGTTTCCAAGAGCGGCCTTCTCGGACTGGAGGCACCCCTGAGATTGATGGGGTCACACTCGGACTGGAGGGCAAGATTTACAACATAGAACTCCTTCTTAATCCAGATTTGGCAGTTGGATAACTATAGGACCTCAGTGGCAAGTGAGGTCACCGATCAGCTTTGGCTGATAAACCTTGACATACGTTTCCCCAGTGCTCCTCCTACGGGTAATCTTAGGTGTAAATTGTTGTGGTGAACTTAAATGTAAGTGACCCAGAATGCAACACGTCTTCTAGAAAAGTCTTCATCACCCCGTACCAAAACAGCTGCGTTATGAACATCAATGCTTGCTTGGGGGGTGGGGGGGAGGGGGCATTTTACAAACGAGGCGTGAGGTAAACTATAACGGCTTTATTAACAAGGAACAGCAACAACGAAGTTCAGAACACGGACAGCGCGCAGCCCGCCTGGAAGCTATTTATATTTGACAGCTGTCAGGCGGCGGGCCAATCGGTGGCTAGTGATTTTCCCGCCAGCTGGCAGGCGCGCCTGGGCCAATCAGGAGCCTGTGGCTCTGGCCCCGCCTGCCGGCTGCGTCGGAAAAACACAACAGAGCAGATTTTGAAGGATAGCACGTAACATTGAGAGCCGTGATGGAGAACCTATCACATGCGTGCCACAGGTGGCACGAGGAGCCGTCTCTGCGGGCACGCCAGCTGTTGCCCAGCTCCACCGTGCATGCGTGCGTGGCTCCCACTGGCCAGCTGATTTTCAGGTCTCTGCTACGTACGCAGAGGAGGTTGCGCGTGAATGCATGGGGGGGGTGTGAAATGGCAGTTTCGGGAGGCTTCAAGGAGGCCTGCTAGGCCCAAAATGAGGGGCACAGGGGATGCGGTGACCACCCCCCCCCCATGGCCCATTTGTATGAAAGCTTCCTGGTTTTCACCCCTAGTTGAAAGTTCAAAATCTTTCCCCCACACCCACAAGTCCATCCCATGGTCCAATCTCCCACTCCCATGCTGGCAGTTCCACCCATCCAGTTCCAGCCAGGTGCAGAGGTGTAAAGACAAAGAATGACCTTGGCTCTCTAGAAAGAATGTTGTTATGGCTACATAGCATCTAACTCCGTACAATCCCACCTTCCCTTTTTCCCACAATAGAAAATGCATGGTAGAATAGTAGAAAGTGTGGCAGGCCAAAGACCCAAAAGAAAAGATGGCCGCAGGCCTGGCGCCTAGTTCTTTTCATTAAACTAGACTTCCCCAATCCCAATCTTCACATGACAGTTGCAACAGAGAGTCGAACATGATATGAATCGACTTATTTGTATCATGAAACTTTGTTGATTCCCGGTCATTGTTGAGCTACGCTGTCCCAGGGCCGTTGTCTTGTTCGGCCAGAGGTGGGCGTTGTGTAGATTGTCCCAGGTTGGACCCATGCCTTCTATTCATCAGGACAGATTGGAAGTCCCAAGTTCTCAAGAGCTTTGTAGATACCGATCTGGCCTCGCACAATTGTGTTCGCCAGCTTTTGTAAAGCTTTTCTTTCTTGGTCCCGAATCAATGGCTTTGAGGCTTGGAGGTGTGGTGCGCTTAGAGGAAACCATTCCTTGCCCATGTGTGTGTGACTGATGATAATGTTGCCACTCTCCTTTCTTGTGACAGGTTGTTGAATTCCATCTTGCCCGGATTGGTCACCAAGATCAACAGATCGCCCACTCCCGCTGCAGGACTGGTGAGTATCTGTAAGTGAGATCCTTCAGTTGTCGTTTTGCTTCTGTTGTGTTTTTTTTTTCCAGAAATGTCTTCTAAAAAGTCAACATGAGCACATCTGTTAAATCTGGGCAGCCCTGTTGAGAAAATATCCAACTAGCGTTGTCGCTCAATTTTGACATAGATGTCGTCTTTGGCCTGTCTTTCAAACTAGAGCTCCTCTCTGTCCAAAATGTGGACTTTGCTTTCTTCAAGAGAGGGACCTTTGTCTTTTAAATGCAGATGGACTTCTGAATCTCGTCCTGATGGGCTTGTTCTCCTGTGTTGTGCCGAGGTGGCGCAGTGGTTAGGGTGCACTACTGCAGGCCACTTCA